TCCATTCCAGAGGTGGTTGAACTAGAGGACTAGCCTGTTCTGAGGAGACTTCAACTGTGCATTTGCAGACCTGACAGACTTGGATAAACACTCAAATTTCTGGGCCTGCACCTTGAGCCTCATGGGTCACTATCCATGCTGCCCCATTCCTCCTTTACCTCTGGCAGTGGGGACATACATCTCAATGATGCTGATGTACAGCTGCAGTGTGAGCTGCGGGGTGGAGCCTAGGAAGGCCTGGATCACTGCTATGCGCTTGAAGGCATTGCGGTGTGTGACCAGCTTGCGGATCGAGTGGCCGACCTCCTGCTCCAGCTCCACCTCAGAGCCCTTCCTGAGCTTCTTCTTGCGTGTGATGGTAACGTATGGCTCCTCCTGCCGACCCGAGCAACAGTAAACCACCAGGGCCTCCACGCACCTGCACACAGACAAAGCAGCCCATCAGCTCAGCCAACCCCCTCACCAGGGACCCCGTCATGTTCCTCTGCAAGTCTCTCCTTGCCGGCATCCTCCCCAGCAGGAGGTTGTTGATTCCACTCAAGCAGTTTAGCAAGGAGGCGACTAGTGAAGGAGAGCTTGACAAGGCAAACAGCTCCCCTGTTCCCAAACCACGGGCAGGGCACTATATTTGCATTGTGGAAAACATGCACCCCAAAACACACTTTGCTCCGCTGAAATGCTTGAAAAGAGCAGGAGAGTGAGTGTGAGTGTGTGAGAGAGAGAGAGAGAGAGATTCCCTTCCTAACCAGTTGGCATGATAGCTCTGGCAGCATGGCCTTTTTCCCAAAGGGCAGCATTGTCCATGCATTTTGTTTGATTTACTTCAGCCCAGAGAGCAGATACCCTGAAGTCTTTGCCTTAGCCAGGTCCTCACTGGCCCCCTTAGAGTAAGTGAAGGGTTGGGGGAGTGGGGAGTCCTTCTACTTATGCTGTATGTGGTAGTTTATGGTTGGTTTTACCAACACTGGAGATCCTTCTTACGCCATCCATCTCTGAAATATTCCAGCACTTGGTTTTCTTTGGAAATCCCCATTAGGTTACTCTCAGCAGTTGGACGGGTCAGTTCAGTATTTTGAACTCCAGCCCCTCCAAGTCCATTGAACCCTCCAAATCCATCAAAATCATTGGGGGCAGGGTAAGTATGAGAGAAAGAGAAATGGTTTGCTGAAGAGAGGTAACACCTAAATGTGTTTAGCTTCAGCTTGGAAACCAATGCGCTCTGGGACCGATAGTGGAAAACTTTATTAGGACAATCAATGGTACAAGAGAAGTCACCATTTTTCAGACCAATTGTAATTAAATCTCTGCACCACTTCTCTTATGGGACCCGAGCCTCGCCTGGTTACATGTTGTGTTGCAAACTCTGAACTGAAACCACATTCATCCTAAAGGACCAGTTTCCAGTGAGCCCAGAGCCCGTGTATGACTCAGTGAAACCAGGTGAGATTCAGTGGTTTGGACTCCGGGGCTACACCTGAAAGGGTTTGCAGACAAGTCTCTCTAGAACGTTCCGAGGCTCCTCTCAGTACAGCCACGTGCCTGCAGACATCATCACAAAAGGCATTACAGACACTCTACATTTGGCCTCTTGCTGCTGAAATGGATGGGGGCCATTTGCAGCATCATCCCATTGTAAAGAGATCCGGGTGAGTGCTTTCACGCAAATAGAGTCTGCACAGCAAGATGAGTTAGCCATTTGGTGCAAGGTGTGGGATCAGAGAGGCCCTGCAGATGGCTTCTACTCACTGATACAATTTATGCTACTGTTAGAACTGGCAGTGGAAATTTAGCCCTAAAATAACTCTCTCATCCTGATCAAATGGCCTGATGTAAGTCCCCCAAAACCTGGATATTCAGTCAAGGACAGCATTATCCCATTAGAGCTGAAGCACCACATGCTGATGGACACCCTGATACTCCTTCATTCTTTGCTTCCTGTCAGAGGATGTAGCAGCTCTGAATCTCTGGGGGTTTGTGGTTTCCACATGAAGTGGAGGGCTCGGAGTTAGTTGTTTAGATGTCAGCTAGATACACCATATTGTCCTGCTCATCTCCTTCCCAAGAATTCTCCATGGAGACACCTGAACACCACCTGCATCCCAGGGCCACTGACACCCTCACAGGGGGGCAGGCTGGAAGGGACACACCTAGCCTGGTCCTCAGCCCAGCTGAAAACAGAAACTGGTTTTAAAAGCCTTATTATTTGTTTTAGCGAGCTCTGATGCAGCTAGCGTGGCTTTCCCACAACCTAGGTTTGTGAAAATAGGCTGTCTTGCTGGAGCAGACAGAGCTTACTTGGGGAGGGGTGCATTCCTGCCTGGAAGGAGGCATCACTGTCATTCTCTAGGAATGAGACCTAGGCTTCTTCCCTTCCTGTTTACTGCACCCAGCTCCTCCTCTCTCCCTTGGGTCTGTGGCTACAGCAGCCTGGGTGTCTCCCCACTCCTAGGATTTTTCTGTTCCAAAACTCACCCATTTGCACAAATGCTCTTCCATTCCTTGTCCCATGTCTCCCCATCTCTTCCTTCCCACATCATCAAACCCAAGGTGACAGCTGCCTTCCCTCAGTCAGACACAGGACTCCCAGCCACACCTTATTCACATCTCAGCTCTGAAACAGCCCCAGCAAGAGAATTCACACACACACCCCTCCGTACCCTACAGCTGCAACTACACAGACTTCATAAGCCAATTCCCTGTCTCTCTTGGCCAACTAACTCAGAGGGGACAAGAAGTGCAAAAAGCAATCATGAAAAAGGAGCCTTTGTTAGACAGCCTGGGTGCTGAGAACAGTTCACTGCAGACCTCCCCTTACTGAGAGGCAATAAGCATTTAGTCTGGATGGGGCGTGGCAGGAAGCTGCCTGGGTAGGTTCCAGTGGCCACTGTCTTTGGGGGAGATGGCTGGGTAGGAAGCTCCTGTGGTTTATTTCCATTGGGGTTAGGAGGAGAAGAGGAAATCTCCAGGGCTTTATTCTTCTGAGCCTGTCCTTGGGTAAAGAAGGGAGAGAGAAAACAGGAACTATTTTGAGATAATGAACTGTCTCAGCCTCATGAGGTTTTGCTAAGTTACAGAATCTATTTTTTGTAAGGCAGCTGAATCCAAGCCTAAAACTGGTTTGTTTATCTGATCTTTCATAACGACTCTTGCCTTGCTGTAGGCAGGAGGAAACAGGTTGCAATCTCCTGTATAATGCAAAAGAGAACCAAGTGCGGTATCTCTGAGCTCCTAGCACCTATAGCTAGCATGTACCACAGGGAAATATCTAGGAACTACCCAACAGCTCCTACACCTCTCCCCACAGGGACTGGGACAGCTAAGAACTTACCCAAAGCCAGAGCTGCTACTACACCACTCCCAAGAGAGCCTCTCTAGTAACAGTAATATTAGCCCTCATAATGCTTTCCACTGGCAAAGCACTATCCAAACAGTCACCCTTAGCAGAGTTGAACTGTAATGGTGGAGAGCTCTACTACAGCCAGTGCTCCTGCATCATCCCCTACAAGAACTCTGTACAAGAAGCTTCCCTGGTCAACACAGTCTCCCTGGGACTGACTCAGTGTGCAGCTGGCTGACTCAGGGAACAGATCATCTCATCCCTAGTTCATTGGGGCTGGGGGGAGGGGTATGTATTACACTGGGGGTGGGGAGGTATTCATGCTGCTCACCTGATGACAGGCCCCAACTGTAGAATGTGCATCAGTAACACCAGTGGCTTGTCACTGGTCAAATCCCTGTGGACAAAAATGAGGGTCAGCTGGACCATGATGGATGGATACAGCATGAAGAGAATGGTCATCGCAAGCCAGAAGTGATCATCAGAGTGACTGTAGGAGGAACACAGGAATCCAGCAGCCACGCACTCGCCACAGAAGAGAAGCGTGGAGAAGATGATACTGAATGGTGGCTTTGTCTTGGGGGATACAAGGGGTTCCCCGGTTTCTTCTTCAAGTGGGGGTTGGTCTGAACATTCCCCGATGGGACCCTCGCACATGCTGTCCATCCTTGGAACCCCAGCCCCTCCAGTCTTATCAGCTCGGAGCTATTCTCCCCTTCCTCGAGCCCCAGAAGTGTTTAATGCAGTGACGAGTTAACCCTGTTCAGCCCAGGAGCCTTTAAGAACCATCCTTTCTCAGTAGGCGCGCGCTCTCTCTGGGTGCAGCCTGGTACGAGGGGCAAGGTGTGGTGTGTGTTGAATCAGTCTACAAAAGAGCATCGGCTGTACAACTTCCTCCCTTTCAACCCAGAGCTAGGCGGCTTCTACCGGTCACACGGCAACTGTACCCTAGATAAGGACGACAACGGTGGCTCCGAGCGAGTGGTGAGCCGAGGCCAATGAGGATGGCCTGGAGAGAGCGGTCTTGAGTCTGTTAAAAGAAAAAAAGTATCAAATTCAGGCAACTGAACTGGTGTCTCTTCCGAACGCGCGCAGGAGCCGCAGCCCGAGGAGGGGAGCTGCGGCGCAGGGACCGGCACACGGGCTCCCGCCGGCGCCGAGAAGTTGGGGAAGGCCGGTCCATGTGGGGAAGTTGCGGATCCAGGGCCCGTGCTAGACGGCGCCGTGCAGGTGCCCCTGACCCGGCGCTGGGGGGCTCGGCACACAGCGGGCCCGGCTGGCAGGCTGCGCCCCGCTCGCAGCAGCGGCGGGCGGGCCCTCCGGGTCCATAGCGCGCCGCCCGACCTGCCCGCAGTCAGGGGCTCCGGGCGCCCCGGCGGGCGGCGGCGTCCTCACCGGAGACGGGCTGCGCGGGGCTCTGCGGAGCGGGAGAGACGGGCTGAGCGCGGGCGCGCACGGCAGGAGCCGCCCGCCGAGGGCTCCGCGTGGGCACGGGGCGGGGACCAGGCGCACGCGGGCACCTCGGGCGAGGCTGCCCGCCCTGCCCCCCTCGCCCGCTGGGCGCGCTCCACGGCCAGGGCAGCGTCCGCCGGGCCAGCTCCCGCGCCCCGGTCCCCGCCCCCGCGGGGCTCGCCCCAGCTGATGTGGCCGAGCAGGTGTGAGCGCTTCCGGGCGCCGGCCCCCCGGGTCCTAGCGCCCGTCCCGGTGCGGCGCGTGGCTCAGCTGCTGGAGCCGGCTGCCGTTCGGGCTGTGGAGCCCCGCAACGAGTCCCCTCCCCAGAGGGTCTCCCAGTGGCGTTAACGGGGGGGGGGGGGCAGAGGCACAAAGTATCCCCCATCATCAGCCTCAGCGCTATTCTTTCAGTGCCTTGTTGCATGTCCCCCTCCCCCACCAGGCAGAGAGGACCTACACTCGCCCGGGGACCAGTGCTCGACCTGCTCTTCCTTCCTCCCCCTTTTCTGTTTCTCTCCCTCCCTCCTGCCTTTTCCCTCTGCTTTCTCCCCTCTGCGTTCGCTTTGCTGCACCAGCTCCGCATTCCACCTCCATGGGCTTCAAATCCCCCTACTAAAATGATCAGCAATGAAATAGTGAATGCCGATCTGTAAAGTGTAAGCCTCTGAAGGCTTTAGTGTCAACCCCTAGTGAAATGGCTGAAGGATGGGGGAGTTCCCACCTCTCGGTCATTGTGTCAGGCTGTCTGCAGACCCAGGAAGGTCACACTGCATTGGTTACGTTCCCTTTGTGTTTGGAAGGTTTTCTTTGCAATTGTGAGGGCTCGAAACTTTTTAAAATGAAAACTGAGATTCTGCAGAACCACCATAAACTGCGCAGGCCATATAAATGCATCAAGTAGCCTGGATATGGTCCCTGGGCCAGATGTTTGGCACTATTGTCCTAGATATTATGGACTCGATTTTCAATAAAGTTTAGCATGTTGGGTGCAAAAAGCTCCTTTCAAAATCTGGCTGTGATTATCGCTGCTGACTGAGTGACTCTCTCCAAGTGCATGCTGCTTTCCTTAGCTAACTGCCCCAATGATCCCCGGAAGACCCTACCTAGGCCCTTGAAGTTAGATTCCTCCTACTCTCTGCCATTCTCTGCACCCCTTCCTTTGCTTTGCAAAGGAGGAAGGAAGATAACAGTGATCTGCCCACAGAAGCTAACACATGAGGGGAGATCTCAGATCTTTGTTCCCACCCACCTCGGACCAGCCTGGGGGTTGGGAGGTTGCTTGCTGCCTAAGAAGCATAAATTGTGAGGCAGAAAAATGGGGATCCTTCCAATGCACAATGAGATCAGACCTATTTCCAGAGTTAGATTCTTGGTGAGGGGAAGGGTTAAGTATTAAGTGTGTCTGGGCACAGCTTTTCTCTGTGTAAGGGAAGGCTGTGTGGGAACAGATGTTACTGAGAAGTCATGGCTGCAGCCAGCATTTGGGTAAGTTGAGGTGGGCTGGAGCACCTGACCTCTGCAATGGCATGTGAATTCCTGTAGTAAACAAAGCAGGTATTTTCTTTTATTCTATAATCTAATGGGAAACATGGGAAATTGATGAGATTTTAAAACTCTTTTGTCGTGCACCCTTTCCTAGCTATTCCCATGAGCCCTACCTGAACCCCCTCCCCTAGCCTATTGATCAGGGTATTTTCCCTTGTATCTCCAGGGTCTTCATATGCCTGTGAGCTGGAGACAAGTGGGATGACTCCTTGTCTAACGTAGGGGGATGAAGATTTGAACCAAGGAAACAGAATAGACCTTTCCGTCCATCCTGCAGGTCACAGGCCGCATATTCTTGCAGTCAGGGCTTGGAGCTATGGACACTTCACAACTGTGGATGTGAGAAGGACTTGGCGACCAGCACCATACCCCAGTCGGCATCCCTGAACAATTCCCCAATAACATCAATAACCAGCACTCCTGAAGCATCTGAAGAAGTGGGTTTTTACCCATGAAAGCTTATGCCCAAATAAATATGTTAGTCTTTAAGGTGCCACCGGACTCCTCGTTTCTACCAGCAACCCTGTCCCTGACCTCAGACAGGGATTATTCCTTACGTTCCCAAATATCTAACCTCTTTCTGAATGCGTGAGCACTGATACTGCCATGGGCTAGTCAATAACTGTCAACAGGTCCTCAGAACCTGTATGGACTCTCATTGCCAGAATTCAATAGCTGTCTATGATCATATACTGACAGCGCCTATTAGATGTGACGCAGCCATGGAATGGTTGTGATTGGCCAATTTTTCCTATTTTAGGGAGACCCAGAAGCTATAGATAGCTTTAAAAGCTGCTTGCTAGACAGTCCCTTTGCAACTAGGCTGGCTTGAAAGGCGCTGATCCAAACTGTGCTGTGTCCACTGCTAATACTACCTCACCTCCTCTGTAGCAGCCTTCATCCAACAGCCTCCCTGTGCTTTGCAAACATGAACGCTTGCAACCCTTGTTTTCACCTCAGTTTTCATTTGTGAGGTGTGGGTCTTATCTCTGGTCTACAGAAGGGAAACTGAGACATAGGAAGGCTGCCAAGAGTCACTTAGCATATCAGTAGCAGAGCTGGGAATAGAATTTGGTTAGATGTTTGGGGCCTTTCTCTCCCATCAGAGGCTTTCCCTCTGAAACACACAGAAACCAGAGTACTTCATTATTGTGCTCCTTTCTCAATTGGTGTTCAGTAGGGCTGTGTAGTAAACAATTAGCAGTAAATATTGACTATTAGTGGTAAATATGCCCAATGGCCTGTGATGGGATGTTAGATGAGGTGGGATCTGAGTTACTACAGAGAATTCTTTCCTGGGTGTCTGGCTGGTGAGTCTTGCCCACATGCTCAGGGTTTAGCTGATCACCATATCTGGGGTCGGGAAGGAATTTTCCTCCAGGGCAGATTGGCAGAGGCCCTGGGGTTTTTTCGCCTTCCTCTGCAATGTGGGGCACAGGTTACTTGCTGGAGGATTTTCTGCACCTTGAAGTCTTTAAACCATGATTTGAAGACTTCAGTAGCTCAGACATAGGTTAGGGGTTTGTTACAGGAGTGGGTGGGTGAGATTCTGTGGCCTGCATTTCAGACGATCGTAATGGTCCCCTCTGACTTTAAAGTCTATGATTCTAAGTAATTATGCTTTCAGAAAGTGGTCAATGTTTTCTCCTCTGCCCCTAGACAGTACTGTACCAGGCTGCTAATATGAGGTGCTATAAGCATGAGGATGTCAGAAGCCCCAGAAGGAACTATGTTCTATCTGAGAGAAGAGGAAAGGGAAGGCTGGATGGGACCGTTAGTGTCCTAGCTTGCAGCTGCAATGGTCTATAAGAGTAATAGTATGGGAAACTGCTGTAGCATCTGCCTATCTGCCTCTAGACCTTACTGGGTGACTCTGCTTTTCACAGGCCTCTGTAGGAAAAAGGATAGCTACCACCTGCCTTCATTTTTGTGGGACAGTTAGTAGTGATAGATCTATTCTCCAAACAGAGCTGAAATATTTTCAGGGGCTGGTGCAGCATCACAGTACAATAGCATTCATGCCACATTGTGACATAACTCATTCATCCCCCAGCACAAAGCAGTAAATGTGCAAAACACAGCTGGCGTCCTCTTCAACACATAGGTGCAGCCTGTGGACATGACTGGTCCCAGCATGCAATGCACCACCTTCATCTGAGCACTAAAGAAATATTGCATGCTGGGGCTAATCATGACCACACCTTTTCATTAACCATAAAAGCAACTTGTAGTCTGTTCTATTTATGTAAATTAAATGCAACCCTCTGGATTCTGGCAAACTGCCAGTGCAGCCTGCCTTCAACTGAGCAATGCTTGAGCTCTCCTAATTCAACATAGTCATAGATTCTTAACTGTATCTTTCCATATTTACTGATAAATGAATTAAATATAATTACTTAAGCACATAAGCACTCTAATGCTGCCTTCTGTACAAGGATCTCAAAGTATTTCATAGGAATTAACCAGTTAAGCTGCATAACTCCCAATGTGAGGTTGGTATTATCATCCCCATTTTATAGGTGAGGCACAGAGAGTGATTAAGGGAATTGCCCTAGTTCACACAGCAAGTCACTGGCAGAGCCAGGATCAGAATCTGCATCTGACTCTATCTTGTGCTTTAACAGACGGATCATAAAACAGCATTGTAACCCAGGATAAAATCTCGAGATGAATTCTGCTCTCAAATCCACTTAGCACTCCCATTAAAATCAATGGGATGGGCATGCATGTATCTGCTGAACTGGGCCTGAGGTTACTATGGAGAAGGCCTTGAACTCTCAGTTTATTGCAGAGCAGCAGTACAAAATAGGACAGAGGTAAGCAAGGAGTGACTGTGCAAGTAGAGGGAGGGAACAGAAATAAATCATTCTGTGTGAAGCAAGAGTTAGTTCCCATCTGGAAAGCTGTGTGCCATGTTAGTTGCCATGCCTCAAAAGCAGTTGCTGCCTCTAAGAAGATGGCCTGAGGTAATGGAACAGATGTGGGAGTCTCTTATTTCCCTGGAGAAGAGGTGACCAAAGTTTCCTAATAGAAATTACAAAATGATGATAAAGAAAGTTAGGACTAAAAACCAAGAATAACTTAGAATTGCTCTAAAGCAGCTAGGAGAGAATTATTTGTGGATGGTCTCTAGGAAAGCTTCCTATAGTCTTTTCCAAAGACACTAATTATAACTTGTTTGTATCACAGTAGCACTTAGAGCCCTATTATGCTAGGCACTATGGGCCCATAGTGAAAGACAGGCCTTGCCTTGAAGAGGTTACCGTCTCAATAGACAAGACAGACAGCATTAATTCTATTTTACAGACAGATGAAGTGGCTTGTCCAAGATCAAACACTGGAGTCTGCTGCAGAGCAGGAAACTGATCCTAGACCTGGTGAGTCCCAGTTTTGGGCCTGAACTACAAGGCCATTTTTCTTCTCAACCAGTGTTGCCAACTCTTTTTGATTTTCACAAATCTCACAATATTTGGCACTTTTCTTAAAGCCCCAGCTCTCTGAGTCCTGTGATCATGGGAGAATCTTGGCTTTTATTTTTTGGGAGGGAGAGGGGGGGAGTTTCTAGCCCTTGTGGTTACCCAACATATATGTGTTCTGCTTTTTCCTCATGCTCTTTGGGCCCTGACTCATGATCTCAGAACATTTTGGGATGGCAATACTGCTCATCCTAAATATAAAATCCAAATACAGAATTCACTGTATGAACTTTACTTTCTCTCTGTATAAAGTTTGGTGAAATGATTTTATGGGGGTGGGGGAGGAAGAAGAAGCTCCATGCTTCATGGGCTTCTCCTGTTCAAAATATTCCATGCCTAGCAGTTTAACTTCTGTAAATGGAGAACAGAAACTGCTCTTAAAGAGCTAAAAGACCAGAGAGCTGAGCACATACTGCTTGAAAACAAGCCTCTCTCCTTTTCTTTGGTGTCTGCCTGGAAACACTGTTGCATTAGGACCCTGAAGAAGGCATTACTACTGGAGGAAATCACTGGGTCATGCCAAGAAACAAATTGCTTCCCAAATATAGTCATGAATGGGGGTAGAAGCAGCTGGGTCTCAGTGGAGAGACAGGCAGTTATGGTTCCCCCTCCCCCGTTTTGGATCAGGAATCTCTCTGCAAACAGAATTTGCATTGAGGAATGACTAAATATGTAGCTGTGGCCTGATGGAGGGATGTTTTAAAACCCTCTTTCCACTCCCTTAAAAGAAGCAAAATGCAGCTCAGAAGAAGGGAGCTGGATTAAATGGGAATCACCAAATATTAACAAATTAAACATTCAACAAACAAAGGAAACCAACATTTAAACTCTGGGTTCAGAACAATTATAGAGAATAGACCAGCTAAACTGGTGGCTAAAGGGATAATGTAGGTTCAAAATCATTTGCAAGTCAGAAACTCCTTACCCGTTTTGCAAAGCAACATAGTGTAGATAACTAAAACTGAACAATTATTTTTTAAAACCCAGACTGGATTTTTGTTGCTTTTGCATTTCAGCATAGATGTGTCAGTTTTACTTTTGCTTCCATTTGTTTTCAGCGTAAGGTTTCCCTGTGCTAAATAATGCTGTAATATTTGCAGTGCAAACACTTCGGGGGGTTGGCTTTAGAAAAATGTTTTGATATGATTTTTCTCTCTGACTTCCTGGAGACTTTTGTATTGCTCTTTTTTGTCTTGTACAACATTAGGCCTCAATCCTGTCATTGGATCTGTGTTGGGCAGAACCCTGTACCTGCATGGAGTCCTGGGATCGGAGATTTGATTAATCTAACTGCAGCAGCCTTGGTCCTGGACTTATAAAAAGCAGCCTTTTGTGCCGAGTGTGGCAAAAAATATTAGATACTGAGCAGATAACTTGGTACACACTTAGGTGATAGTATGTGGTCATCTGAGAGTTGGTAGTGTTGATGGGGATTTCCTTGCTTCTGTGGTGGTAAATCCCAAGCATTAGAAATGTTACTGCTGCTTGTTTGCTGAATTGCCTTTTAAAAGAAATCAAGAAATGTCTATTATTTTGGTGGATTTATTTAGTGTAATTCTTTCAAATTCTGTCTGAGTTGTGGCAATTCCCGTACACACAGCAGGTGACATTGTAACAATAAATCAGGTAGTAAGAGTCTGTCTCTTTAATTAAGAGATTCACCTGATCCCTGGAGGTTTAACCTTATGTGGCCCTGTTAATGCACTGAGCCAGCCAGAGCCTGTCTGTAAGTGACCTGGCTGAACCAGGCAGGGGCAGGGCCATATCATCATGCTTACCACCGTTACTGCTGCAAGCAGCATGAGGAGGCCTCTACGAATGGAGCCCAGGTCAGAGTGGAAGTTAACCCTCTCGTGCCCAGGAACCCTTCAGGTCCAGTACTGCTGTTCAGAATCTCTGTGATCAAAGGTTAAGGGAGGGATATGCCCCATGCCCAAATGGAGAGGCACTGTGGAATGGTGTCTAGTGTAGAGAAATTACATGCTAACTTCTCCCTGTGTGGGAAATGGGAAAGAAAGGGTAACAGACAAGCTAGAGGAAAGCATCTAGGCCTGTCTCTGTCATGGGCTTGCTGTCTTAATTGAGGCCAAGTGCCCCAGTGAAACCCAGCACAAAAACTGGGTAAAAAGCAAACGTCTCCCAGAAAAGCAAGTGCTGCATCCAAGGTCAGCTTTCTTGTGAAATACACTACAAAACTCCTGGAATGGGAATGGCATGGGAAAACTGAAAGCCCCTGTCCCCTAGCAGCAAACTGCTATGCAAACTAGTCCAGTTACGCAATGGGAGGGATTGCAAGCTTTACAGAAGGCTGCTCTTTATGGACATTCTCTCCTCTCCCTGGAGCAAAGGTTGGAATTAATTCTCCTATTGCAACTGAAACTAGCCCAAACAAGTATCTATGTATGTCAATCACATAACAATCATTCCTGCATCCTCAGGGTGTGAAGCCCTAGTCCAGATGAGTGCATCACCCTAACCTGCCCCCCAGGAAATCCCAATGGAATAAAAGAGAAACAATCAGGCTCTTCCTGTTCTCTGTTTCCCCATTCTGGGGACTGTTTGCCTTTCCTCTTTCAGGCCTGTCTGTTTTCTTACCCATCTCATCACTGTGTGCTTAAATGTCTTTGTTTCATAAGGAACGAACAGGTGTTTGTGCAGTGTTTTTCAGATGCTGAATATGAATATACTCTGGGAAGCTGCTTATCTCTCTACACTTGATTTCAGGTCCCTGGTTTCCTTCATTCCATGGGGTTAAGAGAACTGTAGTGTGTGAGCTCAAAAGGAAAATTTAACTCTGCCCTCCCAAAATGTCTCAAAAAAGCTATTGACTGGAAAAGAGAGCTCTGTTAGCCCTGTTTGACAGCATACTAGTGCCAAGCTGGGGAACACACCAGGACAGGGTGCTGATATCCAGCAGCAAGCTGAACTTTAGTTAGTGCCACGCACAAAGTACATGTACTGCTAGCTAACGGGGGTTAGTGACAACATTCCTATTACAGCAGCCCTCAATCAGGCTTTTCCATGTCAACTAGCATCAGGCTGTTGAAGGCCCTTGATTCATCAGCATCTAATTTTCCTCAGAAAAGGCAGCAGTTATCTTGTGATTCCAGTCAGACCATGTGGTGTTTGTGTGTAATTAGTTCTCAGAGTCTAAAGCCCCCATTATCCGACTTATCATTAGCAGCCAGAGCTGTGCTGGAATTTAAAGGGACAGTGTGGTATTTAACCACACATGTTTGCCACACAATTTTTCTTTGATTTGTTGGCATTTATTACAAGAGGTACTTCAAGAAAATAACACTCTCTCCCTTTGAATGTTACAGCTACCATCTACCTTGCCAGTATTGGAACCATAGGAGGCAATGATGCCCACCGCACAGCAAGCAGAGCTCATAGTGAGTAGATCCCACTACTCTCTACAGAGCCTATGAAAGCATCAGATGGATCCCTTGAGAACAGATCTCCATTTTCCACTAAGTAAATTGGGACACTGTCACCCTTTCCTTTATGTTGTCTTCACTGACCTACCTGAATCTTAAGAAATCCTTAAGCAGTGCTGACTGTAATAATCACAAATTGGTGCCAAGTAATCCCAAGCCTCACTGATTTTAACTGCTAATCCTCATTAACCCTCCTTCCCAACTCTAGTCAATCCCATCTTGTTCTAGCAAATTCCCACCAAGTTGGGCTAGTCCTAGCCAGTTTTCATGGATCCCAGATAACAGCAAATCTAGCCCATCCTCGCTCATACTCACAGTTCTTAGGCAATCCCTGTAAGAGTGAATTGCCAGTGCCTCCCAATCCTCACGGCTCCTTTTCAGTTCTAAGGATGTCGCAGCCGTCCTTGTTCATAGAACCTCAGGGAATGCAGCGATGTACACCAAGATTTTTAAAATATGTGCTGAGTCTTAAGGGACTTGTGGGCTGGGAGTTTAAACAGCTCCTGAAGTTTCCGATGCCAGCATGCTCCTTCGCCTGCCTCTGAATCCATCACACAGTTGGTGATGACAAGGGGGAGATGCCCACGGGCAGCCACACTAGATTCTTGGTCACTGTGTAGCTTATTAGCAGCCCTAATGGAGAATGTCTTCTGTTATCAACCTGGGGACTAAATTCTACCTCCCAGTCTCACCTGGCAACGGTAACCAGGGAAACCTGGAAGTGCTCCTACAATAGAAGAGAGTTGAAGCCCAGAGGCCTCTCTCTGGAGGCTGAGGGAGAGATTCAGCTCTCGCCCACTTCAAAGTAAATCGGGAATAACTTCACTGGCTTCCCTCCAGTTACTCCTGGCTTACGCTGGGGTAGCTGAGAGCAGAATCTGGTCACGAATAGCTACGCCCTGTTGAAACCAAAGCTGGGCTGAGGTGTTTATCCCAAGGCCAGGACATTTGACCGTGTACCCTGACATAGACTGAAGCAATGAGCCGAATTCAGGCCAGTAGCAAAATGCCCATTGACTTCAATGGATTAGGATTTGGCCCTGGAATTTTAGGGTCACTGATGCAGTTTTGCCAACTCTCTGATTTTTATTGTGTGTCTCGGAAAAATGCAGGGGGAGGGGTTAAGGGTTCCTGTGAATTGCTGGTATCTGCCTTCAATCTTGGGAAGGCTTGGCCTTATTAAATATGGCCACCATCTTCCATTACTCGACCGAAGCCACAGGCCGTTCTGAGGGAAAATGGTGGCCCTTTTGTCACCATGTGTGGGTCTGGCAGGGGACAGGAGGACATAGAAGTGCTGGGAATGGGGCTCTGGGTACAGCAGGTGGGGCAAGAGTGCTGAGAAACAGGACTGTAAATTATGAGGGGACAAGTGGGTAGGGGGGATGCAAGTAGCAGACAGAGGGGAGCAGGAGGAGACTGTGATGGGAAGGAGACTGGGGGAGAACATGAATGTGGGGGACATGTTGTGGGGGCCTGCAGGGAGAATGGGTGGGGCAGCTGCCTGTCTTGTCTCCTTGAAAAGGAGCTAGAGAGAGGGATAACATGGCAGGTCCCCGTGCCCAAGGCATATGAGTGTGTAAGTGGTGTTCCCTCCAAACAGCAGTCAGGGAGACCTGTGTATGTGTTTCTATGAGCATGTGAATGTATTTAAGGTTGCATTTTGATCCCAAGATGATCCCACGCAAACTGGGGATAGGCAGCAGCAGCTTCCCTGAAGGTAAAAGAAAATCAAGAGATGGGTACAAAACAGTGTGCTTTATTTAGCTTTAAAAATCATGAGATTTTTAGAAGGCTGTCTCATTATTTTTGAGACGTCCTTGTGGCACCTTAGAGACTTACAAGTTTATTTGGGCATAAGCTTTCGTGGGCTAAAACCCACTTCATCAGATGCATGGAGTGAAAAATACAGTAAGCAGTATATATATCACAGCACATGAAAAGATGAAAGTTGCTTTACCAAGTGGGGGGTCAATGCTAACAAGGCCAGTTCAATTAAGGTGGAAGTGGCCTATTCTCAACAGTTCACAAGAAGGTGTGAGTATCAGCAGAGGGAAAATTACTTTTTGTAGTGACCCATCCACTCCCAGTCTTTATTCAGGCCTAATTTGATGGTGTCCAGTTTGCAAATTAATTCCAGTTCTGCAGTTTCTCATTGAAGTCTGTTTTTGAAGTTGTTTTGTTGAAGGATTGCCACTTTTAAGTCTGTTTTTGAGTGTCCAGGAAGATTGAAGTATTTTCCTATTGGTTTTTGAATGTTACAATTCTTGATGTCTGATTTGTGTCCATTTTTAGAATCATAGATATTTATTCTTTTGCGTAGAGACTGGCCGGTTTGGCCAATGTACATGGCAGGGGGGCATTGCCGGCACATGATGGCATATATCACATTGGTAGATGTGCAGGTGATATGTGATATGTGCCGGCAATGCCCCTCTGCCATGTACATTGGCCAAACTGGACAGTCTCTGTGGTCAGTGGGAGCTCCTCTGACAACTCAGGCAAATGGCTTGTGTCTGTGGTTAGTTCCTATTGTGATTGGCTTCACCTTCCCCACTAGTTGGGTTACAGGTGGCTGTAGTTTGAGAGAGAGAGGCTAAGGGAATGGAAATAAAATGTTCTTGTAGTGGGTCATACCACCTATCACCAGCTCTATGGGAGGCTGCTGCTGCTGTGGGAGGTCTCCATTCACGATAAAAGTTTTGTTGGATTTTTAGATAATGTGGTCTGCCTTCTTTCCTTTGCACGCCTCTGCTGTTACACTGTAAAGAGCGCTATCTCTTGGCACATGACAGTCTGTACCAATATTTGTAAGTCTATGTTAAGTAAAATTGTTAACGCTGAAAAAGGCTGCCTTACCCAGAAGCGCTTAACACTTAGCCTCGGAGTTTGCAAGCAGGGCTACCTGGTGCTTCCCTGGCTGCAATCTTGACTGCTCCGTAGACAATACAGGAAGGGAGAGAGTTACTTAGTTCAATGAGTGTTTTGGGTGTTTTTTAAACATCTCCTTTGCCATAATTGCTCTGCTCTGTTTGGCTGCTGGTGGTCAGACACAAGAGCAAACTTAGCATATTACTGTTGAACCCCACTGTGGGACTTGTGCTCAATTCAATGAACGTTGCAGCCAAGACACGCTGGCCCTTTGTGGTGTGTAGGAGGCTTATCCACGAAGTGAGCCAGAAGGGAGAGCCTGGAATGGTTCCCCTCACATTATTTTGAGACAGAAGTGGTGTATTTTGCCATGAATTTCCCACTGCAGGCATGCATGTATGTGCACACTCCTACAAAAGCTTAGGGGGGCTTAGGCAAGTCGCCTGCAGCCACACTTTCAAAAGAAAAGGAGTACTTGTGGCACCTTAGAGACTAACAAATTTATTTGAGCATAAGCTTTTGAGAGCTACAGCTTTCTGTTGTGTGGTTGCTGGTGAGTATTTGCTTCAAGTTAGGGGGCTGTCTGTAAGCAAGGACTGGCCTGTCTCCCAAGATCTGTGAGAGTGATGGCTTGTCCTTCAGGATAGATTGTAGATCTTTGATGATGCGTTGGAGAGGTTTCAGTTGGGGGTTGAAGGTGATGGCTAGTGGCGTTCTGTTATTTTCTTTGTTGGGCCTGTCCTGTAGTAGGTGACTTCTGGGTACTCTTCTGGCTCTGTCAATCTGTTTCTTCACTTCCGCAGGTGGGTATTGTAGTTGTAAGAATGCTTGATAGAAATTTTGTAGGTGTTTGTCTCTGTCTGAGGGGTTGGAGCAAATGCGGTTGTATCGTAGAGCTTGGCTGTAGACAATGGATCGTGTGGTGTGGTCTGGGTGAAAGCTGGAGGCATGTAGGTTGGCATAGCGGTCAGTAGGTTTCCGGTATAGGGTGGTGGTTATGTGACCATCGCTTATTAGCACCGTAGTGTCCAGGAAGTGGATCTCTTGTGTGGACTGGTCCAGGCTGAGGTTGATGATGGGATGGAAATTGTTGAAATCATGGTGGAATTCCTCAAGGGCTTCTTTTCCATGGGTCCAGATGATGAAGATGTCATCAGTGTAGCGCAAGTAGAGTAGGGGCATTAGGGGACGAGAGCTGAGGAAGTGTTGTTCTAAGTCAGCCATAAAAATGTTGGCATACTGTGGGGCCATGCGGGTACCCATAGCAGTGCCGCTGATTTGAAGGTATACGTTGTCCCCAAATGTGAAATAGTTATGGGTGAGGACAAAGTCACAAAGTTCAGCCACCAGGTTTGCCGTGACATTATCGGGGATACTGTTCCTGATGGCTTGTAGCATTCAAAAACCAGTCGGAGAACACTTCAATCTCTTTGTTCACTCAATTACAGACCTAAAAGTTGCAATTCTTCAACAAAAAAACTTCAAAACCAGACTCCAACGAGAGACTGCTGAATTGGAATTAATTTGCAAACTGGATACAATTAACTTAGGCTTGAATAAAGACTGGGAGTGGATGGGTCATTACACAAAGTAAAACTATTTCCCCATGTTTATTCCCCTCCCCCCCACCCCCGCCACTGTTCCTCAGACCTTCTTGTCAACTGCTGGAAATAGTCCACCTTGATTATCACTACAAAAGATTTCCCCCCTCCCCTGCCTCCCACCCCAGCTCTCCTGCTGGTAATAGCTCACCTTAAGTGAACAGTCTCATTACAGTGTGTATGGTAACACCCATTGTTTCATGTTCTCTATGTATATAAATCTCCCCACTGTATTTTCCACTGAATGCATCCGATGAAGTGAGCTGTAGCTCATGAAAGCTTATGCTCAAATAGATTTGTTAGTCTCTAAGGTGCCACAAGTCCTCCTTTTCTTTTGCGGATACAGACTAACACGGCTGCTACTCTGGAACTTTTAAAAGAGGCCACTAACGAGGTGCTTTGGTTTGATGGGGCCTAACTTGATACCTTCTGCCTGACTTTTAAAAACACTGCAAACCATGCACACCACTTCATGTCAGTGGG